ATCACACAGGCTGGTGTGCTTCTTCCATGTGGGCTTTGTTGCTTCTGAGCTAGATGGCCACTTGCTTAACGTCAAGCCTTTAAGACCCCACACGCTATATCTTTTGATAGCCGGACACCATCACCTTTCTTCACCACATTTGCTTAATGCACCCACTTTGTCTTCAATGATCGTGTAGGGAAGGTGAGCATCACAGAATGCTGATTGTTAGAACAAAGTGTTCTTGTGTTAAGGGAGTACTTGAGTTGAGGCCCAATGTCCATCTGCAACCTTAATTCTTAACATATAGATATGAGTACATAGTTCTAGTCCCCTCTCATTATATATACATTTACATATGTACTTGCCTGTATTTAGTCTTCTATAAATGTCCTTTGCCTCCTGGTTTTTTCCTCTATTTCCTTTTTAATTCACACCATAATATTGTCCCATATCATATTGAGCCTTCATTCTGGTTTAGTAATTCATCGCTGCTACATTCCCCTTGATTGAGCCCCACTAGGCATCCTACAACCTTCCTTCCATTGATTTTAGTTCACTTGTTATTCCCTTGTCCCTGGGTTGATTGCCCTCCCCCCACCTCCTTTCTCCCACCTCCCCTTGTCCCGTATCCCCCTGGAACCATTGGTCTCGTTCTTTTCATCTCCGAATTATTTATCCCACCCATCTTATCTAGATAGACATGCAGATACATTAATAAGTGCAAAAACCAGGCAAAGACAAATAAAACAACAAAGGAAATCAAAACCAACAAAACAACTAAAAACAACACAAAATAACAATAACAAAAAGAAAGCCACTGACAAAAATGGAAAAGCCTATAAATAGTTCAAGGTCTGTTTGTTGGCCTTTACGAGTGTTTTCCAGTCGAGTCTGATGGGGTGCCACACTCTGCCTCCCGAGTCTACTTTTGGTATTCCCCAGGTTTCTCATCACTCTGATCCCCCTGCTGCTCTGCTGCATGCCCTCAGTGACTCGCCCCAGCGTGATGGGGCCAAACTGTGCACTATTCCTGCACTGTGTCTCTAGAGCTGGTCTCCCGTGGTTCCATGGTTCAGTGAGGGACAGTCTCCTGTGGTGGGCCCATCTACAGTCCTCCCTGTGCATTGTCTGCTTTGAGCAGGAACATCATCCTCGGGGCTTGGTGGGCCTGGATGTCCTCTCCTCCCCTCCATCTCTTTGCGTTTCTCCCCTGTGCTCTAATCCAACGCGCCCTCTCCCCAAGCTGTGGCCCCAGTGCTGTCCTCTGAAGTGCATTCTTCTGAGGGCGAGGGGTCAGGGTCTCCACATAGTCAGGATTGGGGCCGGCCCCACAGACCTCTCTATTGGGTCCCTGGTACATGCCAGTATGTTGTATTCATGTCTTGGCACATCCGGTTGAAGCCTGGTCTCTCTCTCCCTCTTCTGTGGAGATACAAACAATACCCTACCCTTGGGTGGATTAGTGCCCTGCTTCCCCCCCTTCCCATGTCTTTTTTTTTTTTTCTCTTTCTTTCCCCCTTTTATTTAGTTGGCTGCTGTATGTATCCCTGGATTGGGTTGGCCCTACAGTAGTGGCTGGACCTTACCCCAGGGATGTACGTATATAGTAGCTTTTCTCCTATCCGTATGTATCCCTGGATTGGTTCTGACCCCTGCCATAGTGGCTGGACCTCACCTCAGGGATGTAGGTTGCACAACTCTTGCGAATGTGCTTGAGCAATTGAAATGTGTGAGGTGTGATTTGTATGGTGATGAAATTGTTTAAAATAAACTAATTTTTAAAGTGGAAGAAAGAAACTCTACGGGGCCCAGTGTGGTCTCTGTGAGTCGGCTTTGATGTCCCAGCAAACCCCACTGCCAGCAGCTACAAACACCAGCCTGAGAGTGGCCACGTGGCCCTCAGCCCCACCTGCTGTCCGCCGTAGGGATCCCACCAGCAGCAGGGTCCCTTAGGGGTGCTGGGAATCCAGAGAAGGGACTGGAAAAGGAACACGGACAGGACTGATGAGAAGGGCAGCGGAGGTCTGTGTGCTGGGCTGAACTAACTCTTGCCCCTGGTTCTGCTTTTCCATCTCCCGCCTGAAGTTCTCGGCACAGTTCAGCATGTTTCAGACCATCAAAGACCAGCTGGAGCAGCGGACGCGCATCCTGCAGGCCAACATCCGGTGGCAACAGGAGGAGCTGCATAAGATCCAGGAGCAGCTCTGCATGGTGCAGGACACCAACATCCAGGTGACGCCCTGCTCAGCTGCTGCCTCCCACCTTGCAGCTCCGGCTCCCCGTGTTCAGGGATGGGTGCCCACCCTGCATGCAGAGCAGGCCGCGATTCCTCCTGAGCCCCTCCAGGCTGCCCTAACGGAGCCTCACTTGCTGTGCATGTTGAAATGCCATGCACAAAGCACAAAGCCCCTGAACCCCACCATCTCCCTCCCTGTTACCAAAACTCTAAAAAACCTCCCTGCCATTGAGTTGAAGGAAGCAGACTCATAGCAACTCCATGGGACAGGGTAGTCATGCCCGATGAGCTTCTGAGACGAACTCTTCCCTGGAGTAGAAAGCGCTGTCTTTCGCCCACAGAGCAACTGGTGGTTTCGAACTGCTGACCAAAGCCCAACGTACAACCAGGGCTCCCCCAAACCAGGGCTCCACTCCGGCCCCCATGGCCAAGGGAACCATGAAATTCCCAGGACCTTCTCACCCTGATGGTCAGGCAGTGTGAGCTGAGCCACCTCTTTGTTCACCCCCACTGCACCCCGCCCATGCTGCTGAGTGGGTGCCCACACTGTGCTCTGCCAGCTTGGTGGGGGGCTCCAAGCCCCTTCCTCAGAGAGAGGTGGCAGCCTCTCTTCTCTCGTTTCCTTGGGATCCGAGGGGGAAGGGCAGGAAACGCTGGTATTTGTACGGCCCTGCGGGTCTCTGGACGGCACACCTGGTTTCCTTCTGGCCTAATTGTTGGTGGGTGGAACTCACCCCAAAGTGCCATGGAAGAAAGGCCTGGCGTTCTGCTTCTGTAAAGATTGCAGCCAGGAAACCCCACAGAGCCCATCTCCGCGTAGCACGTGGGGCACTAGGAGTCAGAATCCACTTGGTGGCAAAGGGTTTTATTTGTTTGGGGTACTGCCCATGAGGACAGGGGAGCAGTCAGTCCAGCCTTTCCCCGGGATGATGAGCAAGTTCTGTGGCCCGGCGGCCGGCCCACTGGGATCTTGCTTATCCGCATCCGCAGAGACCACCCCCCACATCCTATCTTGTCCTCCGTTGTGGGGCTGTGTGTATCCCTCACTGGCGCCCCTCACCAGGGCCATTCTTGGGCATGTGGGGATCATTAGGATGCTGAGTAGGCACAGCCGAGCTGGAAGGGCTCGGTGGGCTGTCTCAGCTCTTACGGTGGAGACGGCCTCGCAGCCACGCCTGCGTGGGGAACCTGGCTGCCATCCTGGGCTCTACCCACTCTGAGGGGAACAGGGCTCCTTCGCTAGCAGATTCATCAAAGCGGGCTTGGAATTACATTGACTTTTCAGGGGCTCACTCAAATCGGATGTCTCACATTCCTTCTGATAAGCTAGATCAGGGGTCCTCAAACTACGGCCCGCGGGCCACATGCGGCCTGCCAAGGACATTTATCCAGCCTGCCGGGTGTTTTTGCCCTGTTTGGTTCTTACTTCAAAATAAGATATGTGCAGTGTGCATAGGAATTTGTTCATAGTTTTTTTTATAACTATAATCTGGCCCTCCAACGGGTCTGAGGGACAGTGAACTGGCCCCTGTTTAAAAAGTTTGAGGACCCCTGAGCTAGATACTGTGTGTGTGTGAGAGCGAGAGAGATCTCTTTCCCATTGTACTTTCCCCACAGTGTTATCTGTTCTCCGAATCCTCTATAGGAAGACATTCTGGAGGAAAACCTGTATATATTGGTAAGGGCCAGTTATTTTTGCCACGGTTCAGTGCTGTGGCCCATGGCTGTGCCTCTTCCAGGCAGGTGAGGGGCTGCTGTTTTGGCACAGCCTTTAACTGGTAAATGTAATGCTAGCCAAAATCTGAGTCTTCCCAGAGAGCTCAAAGCAGGTGCAGGAGCTCCTTCAAAGAGACAGGAGTCCCCGGGTGGTAAAGTTGGTGAAGTGCTGGACTACCGGCCACAAGGTTGGCAGTTCAAACCCACCCGGAGGCATGCTGGGAGAAGGAAGCACCTGATGATCCTCTTCAAACACGTCAGTCCTTGGAAGCCGCGGAGCACAATTCTGCGCGGCCTACGTGGAGCCGCTGGACAGCAACTGAGCGTTTGCTTTCTTGCCAGGGGGACAGAACAAAGCAGAAGCGACAGCCCATGAGGATGGCTGGAGCCATATCCCCAGCCCCTCTGTCCCCCTTCATTGTCCACACAGGGCGCCCAACACCCTGACGCACACCTTTCCTGGTTTTAAACCACGCAGTTATCCCCTCATTCTTTTCATACCACTGACCTTGATCCAGGTCCAGGTTCTGCATGAGCACAATGAAGTGTTCTGGAATTCCCATTCTTCTCAGGACTGTCCATAGTTTGTTATGATCCACACCATGGGATCGCTTGGTGTGTGGTCCACTAAATGGAAGTAAACATCTGTCTGGGACTCTGTGCTCTGTGCCAAGATCCATCTGACATCGGCAGTGACATTGCTTGTTCCACGGCCTCTGCTGAATCCAGCCTTTCTGGCGGCTCCCTGTCAGTGTACTGCGGCAACCATTGTCCGATGATCCCCTAGACTTTCCCCTTTCTTCCTTTCCTGACTTTAAAATGACGCGTGCCTTGGCTTGTACCTCTCACTCTTTGTGATAGGGCGTGCTGCTTCCTCCTCGTGACAAACACTTCATGGCGAGGCACACTTGAGTTCTGTGAGGAAGGAGAGCAGGGACGAAGCCCTCAGACTGCCTGTCCTCCAGACTGGGGCGTCCCTTCCCATCTCGTTCTCCCAGCCTTACCATTGTGGTGGAAGTTCCCACAGACCGTGGACATCCATGAAAAATCAAACCAGAAAACATTTCCTCAAGCAGCCTACTTTTGGGGGCCACACGAGTTCTTACAACTTAGAAAGGCCTCTCAGGGTGGCCTCGAGAAAGATTTGACTTTCTACTCCCATCAAGAGTTGCAGGCCAGTTCTGCTCTGTCCCACAAGGTCGCTGTGGGTCAGCATTGACCCCATGACAGGGAATTGAGTTGAGGTGGCATGGTGATGGTTGTTGGGTGCCACCTGCAAAATAGCAGTTTGAAACCACCAGCCGCTCCAAGGACAAAGATGCCTGACCAAAATAAGATGTTTAAGTGGGGAGTTGTAATTCAAGCATAAATAGATCTATGTGCATATATTTATAGGTTTAGTATTAAGGTAGCAGAAGGACATTGGGCCTCCACTCAAGTACTCCCTCAATGCAAGAATACTTTCTTCTATTAAATTGGCATTCTATGATGCTCACCTTCCTGACACAACCGCTGAAGACAAAGCAGGTGAATAAGCAAATGTGGTGAAGAAAGCTGATGGTGCCCGGCTATCAAAAGATATAGCGTCTGGGGTGTTAAAGACTTGAAGGTAAACAAGTGGCCAACTAGCTCAGAAGCAACAAAGCCCACATGGAAGAAGCACACCAGCCTGCGTGATCACGAGGTACTGAAAGGATCAGGTATCAGGGATCAAAGAACGAAAAATCATATCATTGTGTGCTCACCTCCATGATACAATCGCTGAAAACAAGTGGGTGCATAAGCAAATGTGGCAAAGAAAGCTGATGGTGCCCAGCTATCAAAAGACATAGCGTCTGGGCTCTTAAAGGCTTGAAGGTAAACAAGCGACCATCTAGCTGAGAAGCAACAAAGCCCTCATGGATGAAGCACACCGGTCTGTGTGATCACAAGGTGTTGAAGGGATCAGGTATCAGGCATCATCAGAACAAAAAATCTTACCATCGTGAATGAGGGAGGGAGTGCAGAGTGGAGACCCAAAGCCCATTTGTAGGCCACTGGACATCCCCTTACTGAAGGGTTTCGGGGAGGAGAGAAGCCAGTTAGGGCACAATGTAGCAATGATGAAAAATACAACTTTCCTCTAGTTCCTAAATGCTTCCTCCTATCATGATCCCAATTCTACCTTGCAAGTCTGGCTAGACCAGAGAATGTACACTGGTACAGATAGGAACTGGAAACACAGGGAATCCAGGGCAATGATCCCTTCAGGACCAGTGGTGTGAGTGGCGATACTGGGAGGGTAGAGGGAGGGTGGGTTGGAAAGAGGGAACCGATTACAAGGATCTACATGTGACCTCCTCCCTGGGGGATGGACAACAGAAAAGTGGGTGAAGGGAGACGTCTGACAGGGCAAGATATGACAAAATAATAATTTATAACTTATCAAGGGCTCATGAGGGAGGAGGGAGCGGGGACGGAGGGGAAAAATGAGGACCTGATGCCAGGGGCTTAAGTGGAGAGCAAATGTTTTGAGAATGATGAGGGCAATGGATATACAAATCTGCTTTACACAGTTGGTGTATGTATGGATTGTGTTAAGAGTTATATGAGCCCCTAATAAAACAATTAAAAGAGAGAGAGATGTAAGAGCCCCCAATAAAAGTATTTAATAAACAAAAAAAGCCCCTAAAAAACAAAAACAGGTATAAATTACTCCAGCCAACCCTTAGGCCCCCACCCCACCCCGCAAAAAAAAAAAAAGTCCAAAACAGTGGCAACACGCTGCTAACTACTGAAACCGCGTGATGCCACGTGCGGCTTGGTGACACACTCAACCTGTGTGTTTACTTTGGGAATTTGTTTTACTTCAGAAGTTTTCTGGAAGTATTTTTTTTTAAGTAAGCAGAAATGGTTCATAGAGGAGAAAATGTGAACGTAAGATTGGTTTGCCCTTGAATATTAGAAGGTAGATACAGCCTTTCCTGGATGTGTTTGTTGTTTTGTTGTTTTTGATAACTTCCTGCTTGCATTATAGAACTAATGGTTTCTATAAAATCAACTCCAGAGCCCAGGAAACGCACCTTCCGGAGCCACGTTCTTAAGTCCTGGCGTTCTGCTTGACGGTGGATCACTCAGAACCGGGCATGTGCACGGCATCTGAGCGGGATTCTCAGCCCAGGGACCTGTGAACCAACTGGAGTGGGCGTTCCCACTTTACTTCCAGGGCTTGGAACTTGAGACAGTGTGCCCATGACGCTTCCTCTGCATGACTCTTTTTTCAGGGGGGGTGAGAGAGTTAAGGTTTATTGTGCTAACCTGGCCAATAAACACATGTAGGGTTAATTGAAGGGCGGAGAGATAAATGACTCGGTGAGCTTCACCTTTCTAGTTCTCGTGTCTCTTGCTCTCTGATGGTCGGACCGGGGTGCAACTGCCCTAGCCAGTTTCCTGCTTCAGCTTGCAAAGCTCATGTCCTGCAAGACATCCCTGAGGAGAAGCCACATGGACCTACCCTGATGCAGCCCTGGGTGCTGGAGC